AACAGTGAGATTTTTAGTCGTGTCCACCGCGGGTACCCAGCGATAGCAGTCGCGTGTTTCTGTAATGTATATTTAAATGGAACAAGTTTCATGCAGTATGAAATTACACCATTTTTTTGGTCAAAAAGATGAGATTTTGAGTCGCGTCTGCCGCGCGTAACCGGTGGTTATTTGCTGGCAGATTAATAGTTTTAATATGTGGATAGAACCTACTATATATTATAACTTTTATATTTTAGTATGATATAAGTCATTTTTTACGGACATACTATCGTATTCACCTGGCAGCCATTTTCTATTCCAGCGGCTATATGATGGCAGACGTACATTTTTTTTTTTAGGGCTTTGGTCATAGAAATTTATATGGCCTAACCTTAGTATGAAATAAAACACCTTTTTGTACACGGGCTTCCGGGTTATGTTTAAAGTAACAAAAAAATCTTACAATACCACACCATTTACTAGCCCCTCCAGCGTGATGATGGTACCTGGGCTTCGTCAGATGAGAAGAGGGCAGAGGAGTTTGCAAACCATCTATCCAAAACATTTATTCCCCATCCTGAACACAATGCCTCTCATACAACCAAAGCTAAGGAATTCCTCTCTCCTTACCTCCTAAAGCTGTTAACTCTTTTGAGTTCAAATTACTTATAAATAAACTGAAACCCAGAAAATCTCATGGATACGATTTCCTCACTTCCCAGATCCTTCCCTGAAAATTCCTCACATTAGTTCGGTTTCCGTTCAAGACATTCCACAGTTCAACAAGACCTCGCGTTGTTGATCACATATCCTTCGCACTTGAAAGCTAGAAATATTGCAACGACGCCTTTCTGAACGTAGCGCAAGCTTTCGACCAGGTATAGCACGATGGCTTGCTTTTCAAACTCAAAATACATTTACTCCAATCCCCAATCTTACCTTTCCAAGTACGCTATGGCACAGAACTCTCCAATTATTATCCAATAGACGCTGGTGTTCCTCAAGGAAGCGTCTCAGGCCCAGTTCTCAACATGATCTTCACTGCTTATATCCCTACAAATCCCAATACCTTCCTGACAACATTCGCTAACCATACCGCTATCCTTTCCTACCACTTAGAACCTGAATTGTCATCCCTAAACCTGCAAAGTCATCATTCCCTAATTAAGCACTGGTGCAAGGATTGACATATTATAGTAAATGAATCAAATTGTTAACATATTACTTCCACACTCCGACGCAAATCCTGTCCGCCAATATTTTTTAACTCTATACCTCTTCCATTTTCAGACACAATTCGATACTTGGGCTTCCTCAACAGACTGACATAGAACCCTCATACCAAACTTAAAACACAAGAGCTTAACCGACGATTTGGCCAGCTATATAGAATTTAGCTATACACTTTTGCAAATATATATAAGAAAAATCAATGGACTGAATTCAATCAAATTGACCCCACATTATATTTTCACAAATATCTACCTTTTATCCAAATCAAACGAGCTGTTTCTGAAATATTGGTATATCTACAAAAATGCATTTGCGCGTGCGTAAGCAGAAGTGCTAATTAGAATTTATTAAAATTTGACAAGGGACTATCTAGACACCAACCCGCACAATCCCTGAAAATTTCATGAAAATTGGATAAAGGGTTGTAGATGAAATGCACGTTACATCTATTTGACTACAGACAGACAGACACCGAACCAATTTTGATCCTTGATATCTGAAACGTAAAACGCGAGTGGAAATTTTCGATTCTAAGCACAATTTTTTTTTTTAACCTCTCTCACGAATACAATGCTTCTCTAACTTCGGTAGTGAGGAAGCAAAAACACTAAAAGACTATGTCTGAGGCAATTGTTCAATAATTGTTTCGGAAAAATAGAATACTGAACAGAAACTTCCATCTTACAATTGAAAACAAACTACTAATATAAAAGAACCATACTATAATCTATCTGGACCTATCGACTTAAACTGTGGAGACGACTAAATCTTCCAACATCAAATGTATCAACACCTTTCGGTCCTTAGAACAATTGTCAATGGTTCAGACTACATCACAAATAAAACCCTACAACATCTCATTTGTCCTTGATTTAATTCCCTCCAAATTCTCAAACTTCCATCAAAAACTTATCAATCATTCTTATATCTTAGAACAATCCCTCTCCAGCTCCAACCATCCATATAATCTAATTCTTCGTCTTCAAACTTTTTCAGTATGCCAGAACGTTTCTTTACTCCAAGATTAAAATTATTAATTTTGAAGCGCCGACACCTGTCTACATGTTTCCGACAAAGCATGGTCACCACAAGTCTCAACTAGAATTCTGTGTGCTTCAGCTGTAGAATTCATTTGAACAAAATCCCCCCTCCCTTCCCCAATAATCTTTATTTGGTATTTTCAGAACTAGTCCAATCATACTGGTGGTAGTTCTTGGAAAATTGTGTTACCAACTGAAATAAAATGCACATAATACCTATATTGTAATCTTGTAAAAACCAGGGAGAACTTATCCAAGATCCTAATACTTAAAAATTGTATATAAATATAATGAAAGCAAAGAATCATAAAATCTATGGAAGCAAAAGTTTTTTTATTTATCAAAATTAAATAATATAAATTACAAAATAATATTTTTGCATTTAAAATCGAAAATCAGACCTGCTACATGCTCTGTTGATTGTCAGAGGAGTCTGTGTTTTATAACAAACTTATATTTCAATCTATTTATATACAACTAATTAATAAGAAAATTAGAACAATTATATTTACAATGTAAAAGTTATATAAATATTTTAATTACAAAAAGAGTGGTATCAAAATTGTCCAATTTGTTAATTGTTAAATTCCCGAGAATTTAATCACCAAAGTGAGTATTATTTTATAGAAAGCAGACTAGCAGTAATTTACCAATGCTATCCAATTATTTCCATTTATTAAATCTATTACTTGTTCCAGAGATAAATTTCTAGATTTTAACCATTTAATTCTAAATTCAGAGAGTATCTGACAAGCAGCTAGGAAATGATAGAGATCTTCTGTTTCCTTTGTATTACACATGCTGCAATTATTATTTGTTTGCTTGAAGTATTTATAATTTAAAGGAAGGAGATTTCGGCTTTTAATAAAATAGTTTTGCCACTATTTAGCCTATTTATGACCGCCACCCCAGATTATCTCCTTCCTATATAATGCAACAGTCAACTATTAAATATTCAATTTAACATCAGCTCTAATTTTAATTACCCATCTGATCATCTTCAATGAGCTTTTGTCATCAATATAATTTACTGAAGTTAAATGAGGATAAAAAGTGAAAGTTTCAGAATTCTGAACTTTAATTACATATTGATTATATATGTCTTTCTGAATTTGAGTTCTTAGTAAATATAAATTAGGTAAATCTATATGTATATATAAAAATTATATTTTTATTTGTATTAAACAATAGTAGTTATTGTAAACAAATGAGAATAACAATATGAAACCACCTGTTGAGAAACTACCCACTTGTAGCACTCTAATAATACACCTACATTAGATAACAGAGCCATCTTCCTTTCAGATGCCTTGGAGGGTTATCAGAAATAGAATAGGAAGCAAGGTTAGAAATGAGAGGGTTCCGATGTCTGATGAGGGTTAAAATTTCTTTAAAATACAAGGTGGGAGTGCATTGAAGTAAGAATTGACTATTACATCTTAGTTAAACTTAATGGAAACAATTAAGTTTAACTGATATGATACAAATAAATAACTGATATGATTTTAATCTTGAGGATCAGTGATGGGATAAGCTTAAGGTGAACAGAGCAGGTAGAAAAAATTTATAATCAACAATTACAGAGAAAACTACTGATAAGGGCCTCTCTTTACAGGAAATTTTAAATGAGCTGATACTGGAGAATAAGTGTAAAAAATACACCACATTAGGGATACCTCTCATAAATAGATAAAAACTAATCAACATGACTGTGTGGTATCCTGAGGTTTCACTGTATATGGTTTAATTGGTGGTTTCTCAAATTTGAATATATTGAAATCAAATTATATATTTTAAATAAGCCTATGTACATAGTAATTGAAGAAATTATTTGTAGTATAATGTTGCATTATGCAAGATTAATTAATATTCAACTCCTTAGTAATGTATCTAAAGACAACACAACAGGGCATAATTACTTTTGAACTGGAATGACAGGGGCCACCTACCTAGGTGGAGTAGGATTATCTCCTTTTATTAGATGTTCTGTGACTGGACCAGTGTCTAGCCCTAAGAATCTGGTAATTATTCTTATTTAATGGTTTTTTATTATTTCTGAAGTCCATTTATTCTATTCCATTAACTAACAAATACTTCTATATAAATACTGATGATTTGGTGTTATTACCTTATTATTCCTATATTTCAGTTTATTTTATTGGAGATTTACTTTTTGGTACTTGTGAGCTATGCAGGCTCTATGGACTGCTATCTGCAGTTATCTTGTTATTTAAAGTGTTGTTGTTGTTATATATATAAATATAGCCTAAAATAACTTATATATATATATAAGAAATAGGCAAAAAAGAGACAACACCAATTATATTTATATTTCTTATTATAGGAGAGTCTAATTTCATATGAAGATAGGGATTGTCAGTGCCTTATAACAATTATCAGTGTTTAGGTTATAAACATTGGCAGATAGGGATTATCAGTGTTCAGGTTATAAACATTGGCAGATAGCACTAAGAGTCCAATAGCTGGTCTGATCTATTAGTTGTGCCTTATTTTCTACAGTCACATTAAAATAACAAAAACCTATTATAACAGCAATAGACCAGAACATGACTATATTCAATATGCACTATTAAATTGGAACAAGGATGTCAATAAAAATAAATTTTTATAACAAACATTGTGGTACAATGAGCAATATAGTTTATACCAAATAAGTCATTGCAGCTTTTGGCTGAATTTTATTGTGATAATTGCAATGGATGTAGGAAAAATAAACAAATATCAAAAAAAAAAAATTTATTCCCTAGGAGTGTACATTTTTGTTGAAAATACAAAGGAGTATAAAATTAATGTTGCTTTCTTCGGAAAGAACAACCTGAAAAAAAAAAAAAAGTAATAAAGGGTTAGAAGTTTAAAAACAATTCACTAAAACTAATGCATAAATATAAAGCAATTATAAATAAAAGAAATAAGTAACCTAAAATTATATTAGCATCCATGGCTCTACATATCAACAAAAAAGATATACACCAAATTGATTCCAGCCATGATATAAATATGATCACAGGGGATAAACTGGTAAGTCAAAAAATGGTTCCCATGAGTTAATAATATAGTAACGATCTTTCAAGCTTACAGAACACTGAAGAAGTTAGTAATTTACACCTCTAAATCTATACAAAGAATAAAGGGAATGGTATCCAGTGATACAGCATGGAAAAATTCATGGATGTCAAGTGAAAAACTCAAGGACTTCTCACGAACTCCCATACAACCATGAAAATATAATTGGTTGGCAAATAATTTGTTTCGGTTTTTCAGGATGAAATAAAACTCAATGTATTATAGACATAAAATTCATTTTAATATGCAATATACTGGCTATTATTTAACATGACCTCCCCCCCTTTCCACTAACTGCATAATGCCATGTTCATAGAATGCCTGGAGTTAATTGTTTAAAAACTAATCCAAGTGGTTTTTTATGTCCTCTTCATATTGGAATTTCTTTCCATTCATGGAGTTCTGCAGAAACCGGAATAAGTGGTAGTCACTTAGAGCTAGGTCTGACGAATAGGGAGGGTGGGGCAAAAGGTCCCATCCAAGGCTCAATAATTTACTGAGAGTGAGCAATAAGGTGTGGGGCCTAGGTTGTCTTAGTGGAACACAAAACCCCTTCAGATCATTTCTAACTCTTCAGAATGTTCTCCAAATTCGATGTTATATCCGTTGGAAAGCTGAATAACTGCTCTTCAAATCCGTATAAATTTTTTTTTTTTTTGTTTTTTTAATGCCTACATAAGGAATAAATAAACAAAAACTCCTTATAGGTTTTCATTTTTTTTTTCCATTTTTAGTTTGTTTGAGAAGGTCCTGTTGATGTCATTTTGGGTAGTTTATGTGGCCCTAAATTCTTGCTAAATTTCTTGTAGATAGCTGAAGTTGTATTGAAGTTATAACATTTTTTTGTGAGGGAACCAAACATTAAGGCTGGAAACCTAGCTGAGCTTGTGAAATGGTTTTCTGCACTTGTGTGCAACACATTTAGGGCCATAGCAATGTCTCGCACTGATTGGGTAAAATTTTGATCATCAATGGCCTTAACATAGCTCGTTTCAATTTCATGGGGGCGTTGAACCAGAACGTTGAGCATCATTGATGTCAAAATTTCCTGAATGAAAGTTAGCAAACCAACTTTGACAGGTGCATTCGGTTAAGGCATCATCCCTATAAACACTGCAAGTTTTTCTATGAGCTTCTGCAGCACACTAACCTTTTATAAAATTATACAACAAAATATGCCGATAATGAATATTTTCTTCCATAATCTCAGTGCAATAGCAAACACAATACTAAGCTAGTTTCAACAAGAGTTAACAGATATAGTTGACATATTACAAACAGGATAACCAATCCACGGTCCAATCAAAGGACTTATTTGCTAACCCAATCTTTTGAAACAAAACTTTAATCAGAAGGATTGATTGGCAACAATTTAAACCAAAGAAAAATTATAAAAAGAGTACTTATTAAGAAAAAAAGCATAAAAGTAGATAATCATCATTGAGGTCGAGGAACTGTAGGAAAAAAATAACATATGTATTGGTTAATGAAAGTAAAAATCTAAAACTTCACAAATGACCTTCATTTAATTACAACCTACATTCTCGTAAATGGGGAGAGATCAGGAAACAAAGCAATTTAATGAGGTAATAAAAACCAATGAGCACCCATTTGCTCTCCAATAAAATAAAATAATTTTATCACAAACTTCAGAAAAAAGGTGGCTGAGGTCATGAAACTCTATTAACATAATTATGGCCTAAAAATTTTATAGGACTTTTTCAGAAATACGTCCTACACAGCAATTTTAAGATGTGTACTTTACTGATTAAAACTCATAGGCTACAAAGCATAGATGATTAATGAGCTATTTAGAGATTATATAATGTAGCGGTCTTCAAAAATATTGAGCCATTTAGCTAAACCTACAAAAAGAAGACAGAAATTACTTTCAGATCAAACCTTTTGGGCACCGAGAGGCTGGGAGTAAGCATGGTCCTCACATATAAATAAGTTCTACGCTTTATTGGAAAATTAAAACAGAAAAAGGTTTTAATCATTTAATGAAAGTTTCAGGCCAATATGACAATTTGATAATACTCATCAGCTTGCATAAATTTTCACAACATGGTCATATTGATGTGTTTGGGGTAGAGGTCACCTTAAACGGCCTAATATTTTGGTAAATCGCCTTCTTTTTTTCTCTCTCAATTTTGTGATAAAATTATATGAAGATTTAAGTGGAAAGCAACTGTGTGTTCATGAGTTTTCAGTACCTCATTAAATTGATATGTTAACTGAACTCAAGATTGAAAATGTCTCATTTCCAAGACTTTTTGTAGATACAGACCTACATGACCCTCCCCCCTACAATTATTAATAAATATATCAGACATCGTCAAAACCTCTGTAATCATGTTTTAAAGGTTCTAATAAATTTAAAAAAATTCTTTTTCATACTTATTAATAATTTAATTTAAAATGCTTTAATACATATATATCAATAACAAGCAAACATACATAAATATATAACACACAAACTTCCCAAAATTATTTAAGTACTCACCTTCCGTTAATCTAGCTCTGCCACCAGTAGGTTGACAAAGGATGGTTGAGCACCCTGCACACACAACTACACTTTGGGCATGAGAGAAAACGGTTGTTATTTTGTAGCAGCCTAAATAAAAAAAAAAAAATAAAATAAATAAGATATTCTATGAAGGAATATATTATATTTGACAGATAGCTACAATATTAATATAAGTAGGACAAACTTAAGTAAGCATATAGAAGGTAAGGAATTGTATAAGAAGAAATAAGAATAAATTAGATATTAGTTTTTCACACCTCAAAAACACACAAATTCGAATATTTATAGCAATGAAAAAATAAAATATTTTTGCATGAAATTTATTTCAACCACGAAAATTGTGGTAACTACAAGAAGACTCCACCAATCCACACGATATTATGATTATTATGAATTTAGAGCTTTATAGATTAAATTAAATGGCACAAATCCAACACCCACAAAAAAAAAAAAAAAAAAAAATTAGAACTGATGTAAAATTAAAGGTTTTTTTATTTATTTTTAGCTTTTGGAAGTAATTAAATTTAAAATTTATTAATTAGGGTTTGGAAAACAGCAATAAAGCTTTCTAATAGTTTTTACTAACATTGAATCTACAAAAAATTCTACCAAGAAAATCAACAACTAAAATTTGGATGTTTTTATTTCTATAAAAATCAGGTTTGATGCGTGCATCACACAACTTTCACTTACCTTTTTTATTTTTTGTTAAAAGATATTTTCATACAAAGAGAAGTGACACTAAAAACTACAGACGGAACAAAATATCATCTAAAACAATTCATATAGATTGTTTTTTACATTCTTTGGTATTAGTTCACAAGAGTTCCGCACGGATTACGCATGGTTCACAATAACTTCGATCAAACTTGTTTATGGAATCCCGAAAACAGCCTAATGTTGTCGTCTTTTATGACGTCAGTTTTGTCCTATCACACAACCCCTTTTCATGCATTTTAGAAAAAAAAAAAACGTATTCCCTTCATGGAATTTCTTTCTTAACAATTAATTAACGAATTGTGTATTTACTAAATAGTCAATTATTAATTTTTATAACGGTTATCACTGTAAAAGAAAAAAATACATAAAATAATGTTTCTTGAGTCGTTTCTTCAAGGCCTGTTAAAAAAAAAAAATGCTTTTAGAAATAACATTTTTATTGACAAGTGCTTACGTGTAGTGGCTGTAAATACGCATATACTGTATATTATCTTTTATAACTGTGTATAAAGGATTTTTTTATCATTTGGATAATAAATAATTTGAAGTTATCTTTTTACTTGTTATTCGAGTTTTTCCATAGAAGTTGGAATAATTGCATTTATAATTTATTTTAGCAAGATTTTTTTTAGTTTATGTCATCTATCTAGTTTATGTCATTTTTTTTTATTTCTAATAATACAAGCATCCACTATTTTCTAGTGAGAGGGGGGGGGGGGAGAGAGAGCGCTTTGTATGCATATACTGTCTGATTTGAGATTAAGCATCAAGTTTATGTAACTTCTTTGAACTCCTAGATATACGAATCCACTATTTTCTAGTCGTCTGAGCTTTTTATGAATACACAGTCGGATTTAAAATTGTTCGACGATTTTTGGATTTCTAAGATATAAGAGTCCACTATTAAGTTGTCAAGGACGCATTTTATGAAAATAATGTCAGATTAGAGATTTATGAATATACTGATAATTCCAAGATAATGAATAATGAAAATCATCAATAAGAAAAATAATATCGTGAAATAGCATTTAGAGATGTAATAATTAAAGATTTTTATCTATTACTATTTCTTTTTTACAGATCTATAATATATGTACAAGTTCAATTTAGGTTTCATGATGTGTAGTCTAAATTTCGAATGTAAATCTGCTTCTGCTATATAAATGAACATGGTTAAAGTTATAGAAGTACTTAAGTGGCGGGAAAGTTAATAGTAATTGGACCAAGAGATTGGTCGCCTTCTTTTTCTTTCGGATAAACCCGAACGCATTCGGGATTCCAGGAACAAGTGTGACCGAAGTGATTGTGAACCATGCGGAACTCTTGTGAACTAGTACCCATCTTTTAATGTTTTATATTAATCTGATGTATTAATATTAATCTGATGTGAACTAGTACCCATTCTTTTAATGTTTTATATTAATCTGATGTGTTTTTTTCACTAAACATTTCCTTCTATGACTGTATATTTTAATTAATGATAATAAACGATTAAATGCCACAAAATTTTTAAATCTGACATGAGTTCCACTGATAAAAAAGGCAGCTATATATTTATTTTATTTAATTGTGGGAATTCGTATTTGTTTAAGCACTGTTATATACACAAATTTTAATTTTTATATTGCTATAATCTATATCTTTCAACTAAACATTAAATAATATCTAGGATAGACATTTATGAAAATCAAACATGAATATGTATATTATATTAAAAGATTTCATTAAGCATATTTTACATATAAAAACCTAACCTTTCGGCCAAGCTCGTGTTTCATGGGTCTTCAATAGCAATCACTTACTTCTCCTTTAGTTAATGATCAAATTCTTAAATAATTTATATTCAACCATTTTTAATTTTAAGATGCATTGAGAAGAGGTTAGTTATATCAAACAAAAAAAAACAGAGGTACTTAAGAGGAAGAAATTTTAACAATTCACCATTGTCAAGCTGCTTCGATGAGGATAAAACCAACCTTAAATTAAAAACCACTTAATACTATATTGACCTAATGATTTATACCAAAATTATCTTTAATCAAAAGCTCTTTTTAAAAGAAAAATGTGTATAAGACTTGGTTATTTGGACTCATAGAACCTCAAAACGTGATCCACACGAATTCCATTGAAAACTTGGATTTGTAATATTTCCTGATCATAATCCATTTCCTTACTGTATATTTCATATGTAGGTAAGTGAAAGTAAAAATTAGAATCTATGAGTTTTATTGGACAAAAAAAAAAAATTAATCAAACTTAATATAAAGTAAAGCTGTGTTTTTACTTCACTAAGATGAAATGCTAGTCAAATGTAGACAATGTAAAATGTGGAAGTAAAAATACAGCCTTACCTTAAATTATTATAGAATAATATCACCTAAAACAAATAAGCATTAAGTGAAGCTAACTTGCTTTTCATACATAAAAAAAAAAAAATTTACTAGGGATGCTTATAATGGTTTCATAACTTATGATGCATTATAGCTGATATTATGAAGCATTATTTAATACTATAAGAAATATTTTTTTTAAATCTCCACAAAAAAATAAATAGGTTGGTATATATTAACATAGAAATCCGGACAATTCATGTATTTAGCTTTTGTTAGCTCCTTTTCCCAATGTTAAGAGGACAACAATCTTCAATTAAACCAACAAAACTTAATATTTGGATGGTTATGTATAACTAGGAGGATGCCTAGGTTGATCAGAGACTTTGGAGCCAAATCAATTCTAGACAATTTGTTTTTAATGGCTTTCTATAGCCATTATTTAAAGTAAACAGCAGCAATGATTAATTAAACAATTAAGATGCCAATTTTAACTGAAAAGGACCAGTTGGAAGTCTGGGAAAATCTTAAATTGTGGGATAAATGAAGTGAGGATATATCATGAACATGTTAGTAATCAACCATTTTATGTCTTGGCCATTCCATCAAAGTAGAATAACATTAGCAAAGTAGTAGAAGGTATCTTGAAAAGTAAAATCTCAAATAATGATGGGGGGAAGGGGTTGAATTTTATTATCCTTGGTTAATTACAAAAATAAATACAATCTGGATCAATCCAAATTTTTATTATTTCTGGCAGAAATATTTTCATAATTAAGAAAGAAGGACACCTTACAGAACAAAAATTGATTACATAAAAAAGACAATTATTTAAATTAAGCATCAGACATATTTTTAGACTTGCTACATTTCAGTAATCCCATTAAAACTATTGACTGAATTTTAATTGACATTTTTGACTAAGGTACAAATGTGAACCATAAAGGGTTTAATACAAATTAAAACCCAACAATAAAATGAGCTCAGTAAACATCCAAGATCGACCACATCAGAGATTACACAGATAGCCTAAGAACACTTTTAGAAATGTGGAATTTGATTTAGCTGTCGTAAGATCATAACCATAGTGGAACATATAACACCATATTCGCTTACCATGGAATGGAACCACATAAAAATTTTAATTTATGTGAAATGAAAGCCTGCATTACAGCAAGATCAAATAAATATTTCTCATTAAATAAGAAAATAAACAAGTAATGGTTAACTTTAATAATTTGTATAATAATGTTACCTAAATAGAGCAAAACTACTACCTGCCAAATTACTGTTTACTTAGGAATCGTAGTTGACATTTTTAACTAATCATAAACTATGACCAGATCTAAGCCTGTGGTAAAACCAAACCAGCCACCTAACGTTTCTACCTTATTTATCTATTTCACTGTTTTCTTTTCATTGTGGATAGTCAAGACAAAAAATATGTGCTTTAGTGTAACTTTACATAATAACAATCATAATTGTGATCAGCTAAGTGACCAACGATTCATACAATAATGTAAGCAATAACTCATATGGATTCATCATTACTTACATATTAACATCAATAACTCTGGTGTTTACTGATATATAATCTCAACAATAATACTATGTTTGAGCATGTATGCTTCAATTAAAACATAACTAAATTTATTCAAGTTAATTATTAATTCACTTATGTATCATAATGGTTACACAGATTAAATTAGTAAGCTATCAAAAACTTCAAATTTGACAATATCGATAAACATCTGCTTAATATATGTATTTATACATGCTAAACCAAATAATGACATATAAGCCTAAGTCCACATAAATAAAACATATTACAGGCTTAAATAAAAGAATATACATCAACACAAGAATTTCCAAATGTTAATCAGAAAAATATGATGCCTAAATATCACACAAGACTACTGTATCATCATACTTGTTTAATGTTTCAACCTAGTATATACAATAATGTACTCAAGACAACCATAAATTATTCTGTAACATAAACAGAATCTATGAATATAATTTACTATTTGGGTGACCAACTAATTACAATACAAAAATTTCACATGATAAAACAAGAAAATAAATATAATAGAAAAAAAAAGGCAAAACAATGTTACCTGGACATTTAACATCCATAAAGTACGAATTGGGATGCTGCACTAACCGTTTCAGCTTATGCTTCCTTTTTTCTTCAATAGGTGAAGGGTGTAACAAATCCTTGGCAAGCTTAAAAAAATATATATATATTAATCAAAGAAACAATTGAAATGAAACAGCATATAACAATTTAGCAAACTTCAAACAAAACCATCACACACCACAGATGAGCACATGTGACCTAAGCCACATGTTCTAATTTACATAGATCAAATACTATCAGCATATATAAACTAAGTGTAGGTAAATACTTGATTGAAAATAAATTAAATGGCATTATAAAATAATAGAAATAGTTTCAAAAAGGACTTACTGGCATACTAGCTGATTAACCACACGTCGGCGAAAGACAGAAAGAGCTAGTAAAGCCTAAACAGTAGAAACCAGAACCGTTAGTGAACGATTTGTAAAACGGTAGTTATCATTTATAAATGTATCGATTAATATATATATCGATTACTGCATATATCTGACTATTACTATAAATATAAAACAATGTCTTACGATAAAAAAAATAAATTAGATTATTTTTGAGTTCGAAAAAGCAATGCTCTAAGAAAACTTGAACAAAATGCATAATAATATTTTTTGATACATAGAAGTAGGCTCCAATCAGACCTAGAGAAAAGTGTATTTTAAAATACTTTGTATATTCTCAACCTTTAAATAAAACACTTTGTTTAAAATATCAAGTATTTTGTGTTTCTAAAAAAGAATTTTAAGCATCAAATATTGAAATTCTTTACAGAAAAAGTATTCTGTATTTGATTTTTAAATACCCATAAATGCTCTCCATGAGGTAGAAATATTTGGTCTGCACTCCATAAACTTTCGTTAAACACCATAACACCAAATATCCCAACTTACTGGCCTATATCGAGACTAAAATCGCCGGACGTACTGGACTTCTTCATTACTAAAGAACTACAGGCCATACCTTACACAGTTAGATCTAGCTGTGATTTGTGTTCTGATCATTCTCTTCTACACTTGGCCTTTCTGTCATCATTGTTAGACAATAGGTGAATCCGTTGGATAATGGTAGAGGTCCTACTATGTTTAAATGTACATACTGAAATCTAGCTGATGGCTGGAACGGTCCTACTGGTGTTTTCCTGTGCCTATGGATTTTTGATTTCTGGCAAGCAACTCTTGGTCCATTCATTGACGTCCTTGTTCATACTTGGCCAGTAGAATCTCTGCGATACCAATTTTCTTATTGTTTTTATCCCTGGGAAGCTTATGTTGTGGATTTTCTTGAATGCTTCGAGTCAAAACTCAAGAGTGAGATAAGGCCTTGCCTTGCCTGTTGTCATTTCCCAAAGGAGATACTTATCTGATCCAGGAATTTCCACTTGTTTAAATGAAAGTTTGTCCTGATTTTTAATTTTCTTTATTTTTTAATCATTCTCCTGTGCCAGAGATAGTGCAACGAAGTCATCCGGAGTCTGTATTTCTTCGATTCTAGACAGAGTGTGTGCCACAATCTTTCCCTGGTTTAAAGACTATCTCGGTGGTAAACTGGCTACTATTAGAGATGAGTACGAATAGGTGTTACTGTATCAGGATTTTGGTTAAATGCATCTGACAATGGACGATGGACCGTAATTATTATGAAATTCTTGCCTTAAATTAAATGTCTGAATTGCTTGACGGCTTCATAGATAGCCAATAGTTCTCTATCATATACATAGTATTTCTTCTGGGCTTTATTGAATGTCTTGGAATAGAAACTTAACGGATACTAGTATTTTTCCTTCTTTTGTTGTAAAACAGCGCCCATAGCTCTATCTGATGCGTCTCTGGCATATATATATCTCGGCATTTGGATCAGGGTGAATTAGTTATACTGCTGCGGCTAAGTTTTTCTTGGTTTCTTCAAACGCTTTCAAAGTTTCTGAAGTCCAGGTGATGCTCGATGGATCTTTCTTGGGCTTGCCATGTGTCAACTCATAGAGAGGCTGTTCAATGTTGGCCGCGTTTGGTAGGCAGATTCTGTAGAAATTGACCATTTCCCTAAATAGCCTGAGTATCGATAGATTCTTCGGTGAAGGATATTCCAAGATGTTTCATACCTTGTGATCCAAAGATGTCGGTTGTCGTGATAGTATCCTAGGAAATCTAGCTCTGATACTCCAAAGAAGCATTGCGCTGGATTGACTGCTATCTTATCTTGGTTTAGGCGTCGTAAGACTTCGCGGAGGTGAATTTCTTCGTATTGTTCTTAATTTTTAGATGCGATTATAAGTCCACAAATCCATATAGATAATTGAGATCGCGGAATTTGTCATCCACAAATCGTTGGAAGCTTTGTTCGGTGTTTTTCAATCCAAATTTTATTCAACTGTACTCTACGAGTCCGAACGGGGTCATAATAGCCCGTCTTTTCCCGATCTTTCTCAGAAAAAATCTTTTTGCCGCTTAACTCTATAGTAAAGTCTGTGAGATTAGGAATGCCATACTGGACCGGGATTATTTGTCTATTGAGAGCTCTGTAATTTCCACATAATCTTAAGCTTCCATCCGATTTGTTCACCACGTGGAGTGAGCTTGACGATGGACTTTTTGAAGGACGACAAATATCTTCTTTTATTAGGTTCTGAATCTCCTTTTTGACGTCCTGCAAATGCCTGGAGATAGGCGTCGGCACTTTGCGGTCACTGAACGACCTTTAGTTTCACTACACTGTTAGATGGTCCACGATTCGGTGTGATTTTAGTGATGGTTGGATATTCATTTAAATTTTTTTGCCAACCTGTGATCAGTAGGTTCTACTGAGTAAACAGGGATTTCAAGTATTGAAATACTGCCTGGCATACTGTACCTTGTATTTTAGTTTATGAGTCGTCGATTCCTCAGATCCACTGTAAGATGATGCCAGTATAAAAAATTCGCACCAAGTATAACATTGCCCACGTCTGATAAGATAAAAGTCCAGAGAAGAGGTTTCTTGAAACGTAAGTCCAGATCTCGAGAGATTTCACCATAGGCGGCAATTAAAGAGTTGTTGGCAGCTATGAGGGTGAGGTCTGAGAGAGTTCTTTGTCGTCCCGTCGGGAGTGGAAGTAGAGAAATAGATGCTCCTGTGTCTATGGAAAATGGCTGGCCCGTGATTATCTCTTGGACGAAAGGGCGGGTTTGATGTCAACTTTCACTGAATGGGGTTTAAAGGGTCCTCTTTACTTCTGGTAACAGACTTGCATGGTTTTTTACATTTATAGGCCTTCTTTCTGAAGTTCTGGGGATAATATAGGTAGCATAGACCATCTCGAGATTTTGACCGAGATCGCTTATCTGCGCGGTATTGGCTTGGGCTTCTTCCTCGTCTATTTGTATCGAGGATCTTCAGTATCCTATCTATGTCCTGACGTAGTTTTCGGAGACTGTCTTCACACGAGTCGCATGTCGTTTTAGTTCTTGGCTGTAGTAGGCTGTAGGCTTGAAGAAGTCGGTTGAGAGATCTTGTAGGTATCCCTTGATGGTAATATCTTGTGGATTTTATCTGCGATTGCAGCCGGTTTTTCCACGTCTGTATGTTCCTTCATCGCTAGGGTGGATTGAAAACGGTTAGGCAGATTTTTCAGTCATCAATTATGGATGAACTCTGAGTTAACGCTTGTGCCAGCTAGTTGCTCACTCTCCTTAGTAGCTGTGATGGAGTCTGATCACCTAATGGGATGTCTTCGATGCGTAAAGTTTCTTGATTTGTAGGGTTTCCGATTCTCCAGAAGTCTTTGTTAGTCGCTCCTTTAAATTTTCATATGATTGCTTCTCTGGATCCGTCACGAGGTGTTGTATCTAAGTGAGTACATCTTGATCAATATTAGGTAGTAGCAACTCGAATTTTATGGTGCTCGAAGTTATCTTAGAAGTTGAAAATACTGCTTCAACAGTTGCAAACCATAAAACTGGGTTGTTCTTCCAAAACCGTGATATTGGTCCTTGATATAAGTCAATCTGAGGAGAACTTTGTCCTTGACCGTGTGATCCTGTAGGGATCTTCGTTTCTCCAGTCACCAATGACTAATCTCCAATCACGTCGGGGTCACCAATTGTCGAGGTATTGTATATAGTAATCAGGCCTCGACAGAGCGTGTTCAATAGAGGGGTAATATGACTCAATGGACGAAGGAAGACGATTAAATAGGATGACCTCAATTGTAAGGCGGATCAGCACCCAAATCACCCTTGGTCTGTGGTATAAGGGATCAGGGGAACCCAGAAGAGGGTTTTGTGGCTCAGATATTAATCGATAGTGGCTACATAAATGGCAAAAGGAGTACTATACCAGCATAAAAGGACGTTATAATAAGGCTGTCCAACCTTGGTGGCAACATTTATAAGGAGGAAAATTTCCAATGAAGTTGTATTTTCTGATTAAATGAAATATATTTATTTCTGGTTTTTTTTTTTTTTTTTTTTTTTTTTTTTTTTTTTTTTTTTTTTTTTTTTTTTTTTTTTTTTTTTTAGTTTTGACCTTAATTAAGTAAAGTTTAGATTATGAATAGAAAGCAAATGGACAAAGGATCTCCTCAATTTGGAGAGTATATTTGGATCTATGATCCTACACTATCCATATGCAGCATTAACCACGTGTCCGACATAGCCTTAACTACGTGACCGATATATCCTCAACCATTTTAATTATCCTTAAACCTATTTTATCTTTTTCATTTTAAGTTCATTGGACTGATAGGAAATAAAGGAATCGACAACAACAATTCTTTCCTACATATTTTTTTATTTAAACGCCTGATTATAACTTAAATACCACACTTATCAATTTTTTAAAAGTATTTGCCTAACAATAAATATATATGTATATTTTAAATGCAAATAAAATTGTAAAATAAGAATTTTAATGCAGCAGAAGTTTTCATACATAGCTATATTATTCAGTAATTACAAGAGTCTGGGGTGCAGTCAATATAAAAATAATAATATATTACATAATGGTATTTTTTATTGAATTATCATAGAGTGCTACCAATGGGTAGTTTCTCAACATGTGTTTCATGTCATTATATCCATGTGCGAATTTACCAGATGTATTTTTTGTATACAGTTGTAAATATCATATAAATAAATAAAAAAAATAAATTATTGAATTATCCAATGTTTACGGGTTCTATAAAGTAGTTCATTTATTTATTTTACACAAAATATTTAAGTTAATATTTTGAATGGATTTGTTCGTTTTTGGGTTCCATTTAGGCATTGATTGGATCAACTTTGAAGTCAAATTTGAATTAGGAGGATATTTTCCCCATTCTTCAAACGATATAGTTTTCAAGATATTTCACTGACGTTATATTTTTATTTCTGAGCTGTGAATTGACTTAAGCCTATAAATGATCGATTGGACCCAAATTTGCACTCTGGAATGGAGTTCCATGTCCAT